TTTTCAAAAGGCTTTTATTGTTAAAATTGTAATTGTTAATTAAATAAAACCTAAAATACAGACTACTTAATATTTAGAAACAATTTTTTTCCTGTAATTACAATTAATTTAATAAAAATATAATTTTGTCAAATACATACCTAAACAACCATTTTCCTTAGACTAAATTTTTTTTAAAAACTATGCATCAGTCATCGTATTGGATAAATTATAACAATATAATATTATTGTGTTTTTTCATTTTAAATTTGANACTATTGTACATAAATTAAATAAAGTCATTATTTCAGAATAACTTTATTATAATTTAGGGGGGAATCTGTCATGTTATGACATACTGCTCAATCATAAAACATAAAATAAAAGCAAATCTTAAAGCATGGTAGCGGTTTTAAAATATTTAATTCCAAGTATGAACAATTAAACTGAAAATATTTATTAAATTGATAGATTTTCTTAAAAAGAATCACATGGTGTAGTAAAATTAAGTCAAATAGTTCTATTTTATGTCTAGTTTAAAAGAATATCACAAATTTGTGCAATGCAAATTATATAATGGAAAATGACTCCGGAAATGTCAAAATTCACATGAAATTCAAAATAAAACAATTTTCCAACGATAATTTCTTGAAAAAAAAACAGCACAGAAATGTAGTACATGTTTGTCACCAACAAACCACCGCAGTACAAAACATTATCTGTACCTCACTCAAAGATTTTCATCAAATTTTGAAACGGTACAGTAACGGCTATCGAATAAATTTTACTAAATTTTCAATAAACATGCAAATAACGTTATAGAAAGTTAAAGCGTTATACCTTTAGCAAGTTCACATCCTTAGAACTGGATTTGATCCAATATATTGCATTGTACAAGAAAAAAAATTGTATCATATGTCAAACGACAAATTTTGTAAATCTCGTTTTTAATATAAAGGCGAGTGTCAATCTGCTATAGACATTGGCTAGTGCATCTTCCAAGGACTAAAAAGCCGTATTTATTTTATGTTATAGACTTTTCCATAAATGAAAAAATTGTGAAAAACGATGTCATTTCGACACCTAGAACAAAAATAAACCATAAACATTTAAATAAATGTAAACCCAAGTGGAAAGTATGTAAGAACGTTAATAAAGAGGTCATAAAATAGATTTAAAAGGTAAAAACAGTTTTAAGTAAGAAATGTTACTGTATTTTCATAATTTAGCATAGGTTCAGAATAGATGTAAAATTATAACCTACAATGGAAAATGGGGTATCAAAATAACGAGAATTGTATCCTATAATCGAAAATAAGCATAATTTTCAGTTTTAGAAATCCATATGCCCAAAATTTCATAAAATAAGTTATATCATATGACAGGTGACGTTGTAACCACAACAAACTTCTTTTGTTTTCGGGTTTATTAAAAGTGTTTTGGACGAAAACAGCCAGTTTGCTCATGATCTTTGAACGATAAACATCTGTGGTAATCTGAAAGAAAACAATTGAAAATCACAAGAAAAATCAAGGCAACTCAATTAATTTAAAATTTGTACCTTTTCAAATCGCAAATGTCAAACTGATGTGAGGTTATAATTTCGTCAAAAGTTGTGAGAAAACGATTTAGTCCGAACAGGGATCAAACATAAGAAAATTAAACTTGTACAACAACGAACTGTTAGGATTTGTGACCAATCAAGTGCTTCGACTACAGTGAATTTTCGAAAAGGGAATAAAGTGCGAATTCAAAATTAGTGACCAGTGCCTGAGTGGAATAAATGGAACGGAGGAGAATCTGACTGTCTCAGAACGAGTTAATGGCAGAAAACAACGATAATGTCTAGTTCCAGTTCAGCAGGCCTGCCAACTTCAAGATCGTCTGAAAACTTTGAAATTTCAAAATACAAGGTAGACCATTTTATTTAACTGCAGTTAAGAGGGGTATTTTATTGGCCACATATTTAAAAAACGTTGATCAATGAAAGATAAAGATATTTAAAACAAATTTTAACAAATTTAAAAACAAAAGTTTCATTTAACCAATCAAAATTGAAAAGTAATATAAATAAAGAGATCTCAAATTCTAATTTTAGTATTAGTCTAGATTAAGAAAATTTGTATAACTGTATATCTGAACATCCGTTGTAGTAAATATAGCTGACACTTGTTAAAGTTATTCGATTTATTTATTGTTCCATGTGTGATATTTGAGGAAAATCTATATAGTGAGATAAACTAAATTTATGTCAAAGAAATAAGTAGATTCTTGTTTGAATGAAATATTGAACCCGCCTCCTGCTCGAGGGAGTTGCTCACATAAAAAAAATAAAATAAAGTGTAAAATAGAGGCCATTTAAGCATTAACAGGTAAATATAAGACTTGTGAATTGTATTTACGTCTTTAACATATATACTACACTACACATAACATACATTATTGACACACATATACAGGGGCTATTCAAAACGTACTCAAAACATTAATTTCTAAAATTGAACATTCATACATAAAATTTTAACACATAAAACAACATTCAACACAACAAAAATTTGGCGCCTAACGTGGGGCTCTTTTAAAATTTGCAAAACCAAGTAAGAAAAAAAATAGACATGGACCTTAGAAGTGGAAAGGTAATTTCTGAAGAGGCGTGCAGCTCTGATGAAGAACAAAGTATGAGCACGGAAGTAGAAACAAGGGGGGAACAAACAACTAGCAGGCAAGAAACAATGTTAAGCATCGAAAACATAACGGCATTGTTTCAAGATATTAAGAAAAATATACAGGATATGGAAAGGAAACAGGAAGAAAGAAGCAAAGAAGCTGAAAGGAAACAAGAAGAAAGAAGCAAAGAAGCTGAAAGGCGGATGGAAGAAAGAAGCAAAGCTGAAGAAAAACAGAAAATTTTATTCCAGGAAGTTGAAAGGAAACAGGAAGAAAGAAGCAAAGAAGTTGAAAGGAAACAGGAAGAAAGAAGCAAAGAAGCTGAAAGGCGGATGGAAGAAAGAAGCAAAGAAGCTGAAGAAAAACAGAGAATGTTAATCAAAGAGGCTGAGAAAAAGCAAGAATCAATGTTTCTGGACATGAAAAAGGACCTGGAAAAAGGAAATGAAGCCTGGAAAATGGAAATAACAGAAAATATAGTCAAGGTAGTGAAGAAATCAAGAACAAACTACGAGCAGACATTGAAGAAAAATTTGACAAAATCGAAGAAAAATATGATAAATCAAATCAAGAGTTAAAAACAACATTAACAAGAGAAATATGTAAGACACAAGAAACACTTGAGAAGAACATTGAAGAGGTTCGGATTACCACAAACACCAAGTTCCAGAAAGTCGAAGAAGAAACAAAAAAAATTGGAACAAGCTCTACATCAAGAAGACTCAAGCCACCACCAACTGGCTAAGGCAACAAGAAAAATAACAAATATTGTACAACCAATTAAAAGAACAGGAGAGAAAGTTTGAAGAAAAGTTGAAGGAAAGAAACATGGGATGTGTGTCAAGAATCGAACCGACAATAAACATGAGTCAAGACTTGGTATTCTTTGGAGACACCCGGATACACCCGGCAGTGTTTATCAAGAAACTCAAAATATATATATAGAAACCTTACCATCATCAATGAATATCAAAAATATCATCAGTTCGACAATGAAAGGTGATGCTGATATATGGTATCAGCTCATCGAAGACAAATACGATACCTTTGACGAGTTTGAACAACTATTTATATCAAAATACTGGGGGGAATATCATCAACAGAAGGTAAGGATAAACCTCATCAACGGAAAATATAACGAGAAATTTGGCAGTTCCAGAGAAAGATATCTCATGAAAAACATCTACAACATAAAACATCTGGAACCAAAGTTTACTGAAAACGAAATGGTAAAAATGTTGGCTAGACATTTTGAAGAAGATATTCATAAGGTGATTGTGACACAGCGCATCTCAACGATTAATGGTTTGATCGATTACATAAGAAGTATCGATGATTACCAGACTAGATGGAAGAAAAATGAGAATCGACAAGACAACCGCATTCCAAATGGAAATGGTCAAGAAAGAAGGCAAAATTAATATAGAAACAATCAGGAAAGAAGCAGCGATAACAGACAAGAGAACAGGAATCAAAACAACCGTGGCAACAATACTTATGGCAATAGGTTCAACAAATTTAATCGAAAGCCTGAAAACCCAAGTCAAAATACACAAATACCACAATCTACATCATACAATAACACGATAAAAACTCAAGCTATACAACCACAAAACACAACTACACAAGAGGTAAATACAGTTTAAACGGTTGCACAAATCCACTCTGCTGATGACACAAATTTTTAATTACGAGAAGTTTAAACACTAGCTATCAGCACATGAGGGAATTCATTAACGTCGACGAAGGCTGTGATCAGGCTATGAATAATGAAAAAACTAATTTAATATTTATAAACATTAAAATTGAAAATAAAAATTTTAAAGCTTTGCTTGACACAGGTGTAGAAAAAAGTTTAATTAATGAAAATTTATTACATAAACAATTAAATCACTTAAAAAACAATATTATAAAAGTAAACAAAATCAAACTGATAAATGCATCTGGAAAAAAATTGGCTGAAAGCAACAAAGTGGTAAATATAATGTTTAAACTTCTCAACAAACCCATATAAGCAGAATTTTTAATTGTACCTAATATAGAGTTTGATATAATTTTAGGTGAGGACATATTGTTGAAATATGGAGCTAAGTTTGATCTAGAGAGCAAAGTTTTTCAATTGAATGATGAAAAAATAAATATAATACTTGACGATTGTTTAAATAATAAAGAATTATTAAATGCTACGTGCACGAAAAATGATGAACTACTAAATACACAAATTGAAAAACAAAACAATCTAGTCATCAAAGCTTCATATAAGATAAATGTTCTTACAAATAATGAAAACATAAAATTAAACTGTCCAGAAAATTTTATTCACATTGTACAAGATATTATGAAGGACAATATGAACCTAATAAACTATGAACCTCGATTTGCTACTGGCTACGTACATCGAATAGAAGTGGATGAATCCAAACCTTTCAAATGCAAAACGTACCCTATTCCTCATAATCATAGATCTAGAGTACAAATTGAGTTGCAAAACATGCTTGAGGCTGGTATAATTGAACAAGGAAAATCAAATTATATTAATCCACTAGTAATCGTTAAAAAACGTGATGATTCAATCAGACTTTGCTTAGATGCTCGCATGTTAAACCAAATATCAAAGCCCCAGTATGATGCACCTCAGACTATAGATGCTATGTTGAGTAGGATTGGGAAGAATACGGTATTTTCAAAATTAGACCTCAAAAATTCTTTTTGGCTTATTCCACTGGCACCAGAACGTCGAAAGTACACAGGCTTTAGCGTCGATGGCCACATTTATAGATTCAGAGTTGTACCACTCGGATTGCAGTCAGCTTCCTCAGCTCTGGTACAAGCTATGCAACAAATTCTCGATACGACATTTTTTGTGCACATTATATTGATGATATACTGATATACTCTGAAAATAATAAATTACATCAAAAACATTTACAAACAGTATTTACAGCGCTGAATGAGGCAGGACTAAAATTAAATATAGAGAAATGTGAATTTTACAAGCAAGAGGTAAAATTTCTGGGATACAAGATTGGAAAAGATGGGATTGGCATTGAAAAAGATCGAATTCAAGACATCAAAAATTATCCTATACCACAAAACCTAAAAATGTTAAGGGGTTTTCTAGGAATATTAACTTATTATAAGAAATTCATACCAGAATTATCTGAAAAAGAAGCTCCGTTAATCGAACTACTAAGAAAGGAAAATAAATGGGTGTGGGATAGAAGGAGACAACAAGCATTTGATAATTTAAAAGCCAATTTCCATGACAATCTACTCTTGTATAACCCAGATTTTTCACTACCTTTTACGTTAAGAACAGATGCCTCATTCCATGCTGTAGCTGCAGAACTGACACAATTTCAAAATGGGATAGAGGTACCCATATGTTTTATCTCAAAAACTTTAAAACCTTACGAAACCAGGTACTCTATCAGTGAAAAAGAAATGTTGGCGATTGTATTTGCTGTCACAAAATTAAAATATTATCTCACTGCCACACATTTTACACTTGAAACGGATCATTCAGCTTTAACGTTCTTATTGAAAAATCGTTTTGTAAACAATCGGATTTATCGGTGGTCACTTTTAATTCAAGAATTTTCTTTTACTATTAAGCATAGAGCTGGTAAACTCAACATAACTGCTGATGCTTTAACACGTAACATAACACCAAAAAAACCAGAAAACACATACATCATTGCGTTAAACATTTTAAAACAACACGAAATATTATATACTGCACAAGAAATATTAGGCAACCAACAACAACTCACTGACTTAAGACAGAAAATACAAGAAAATCCTACGTACAGAGGATATTCTGTTAAACAAAACTTTATAATAAAACAAATACAAGACAATGAACTTTATGTATTTGACAACGACGCAACTGAGAAAATACTAACTGATCTACACTTACGATACGGACATATAGGGATACGAAAGACTTGGTTAATATTCAGAGAGAACTTTTATTGTAAACGAGACCTACAAATAACGAAAAATGTAATTAAAGACTGTCATGAATGTTGTCTAGGAAAAAACAAAAACCACACAAACCAAAATACTATTCTTTTGCACCATACCACAAGACCGTTACAACTAGTATCAGTTGACTATATCAGTAACTTGATCAAATCTCACACAAGACACAAACATATTTTAGTCATCACAGACCATTTTTCAAAATTCATAAAAGCATATCCTACACTTATATGCATCACAAAGACCACTATTCATTTATTGTCAAAATTCTTTAACGATGTTGGACGAGCAGAGACGATACTACTTGACAACGTGATTTATTTCAAAAATGACAGATTTATAAATTATTGGACTCGACAAGGAATTAAAATTATATTTACGACAATCAGACATCCACAAGCAAACCCATCTGAACGCTACATACAAGAGGTTCTAAGATTTCTACGCATTTCTACACAACACAATCACACACACTGGTCAGATCATGTTAAACACATTGAAAATTATATAAATAATACACCAAACACGGTAACATTGCAGACACCCATTCAAGTAATGCTTGGAAAAAACCCAGATAGACCATGGATAAATCAATCTGATCAAAATTTAGAAACGTTAAGGGAGAAAGTCCGAAAACAACTGGAACGAAATGCTGATAGGTACACAAAAAGGGCAAATAAAAAAATTGTCAAACGCACAATATTTGAATTAGGAGATTTAGTTGTTATAAAAAGACATCGATATACAAATAAGGACAAACAGATATGTGCCAAATTACAATATCCGTACGGAGGTCCATATGTTGTTCAGAAAGTCTTAAATCAAAATACATATGAGCTGAAACAGTTAGATAGTGATTTGATAAGGGGACGTTTTCACACTGAGTTAATTTACCCTTATACACCTAATAAATATCAAACTAAAGTTATATCACAAATTAGTACAATGCAGGGACATGACTTGAACAAACATAAAGTGAAAATGAAATTAGACTAAAAAAAAAAAATTATATATTATTTTACAAAGCAGAGGGAAATAAATCCTGAAGTGATAAGGAAACTATTGCACATAAATTAAATAAAGTCATTATTTCAGAATAACTTTATTATAATTTAGGGGGGAATCTGTCATGTTATGACATACTGCTCAATCATAAAACATAAAATAAAAGCAAATCTTAAAGCATGGTAGCGGTTTTAAAATATTTGATTCCAAGTATGAACAATTAAACTGAAAATATTTATTAAATTGATAGATTTTCTTAAAAAGAATGACATGGTGTAGTATAATTATGTCAAATAGTTCTACTTTATGTCTAGTTTAAAAGAATATCACAAATTTGTGCAATGCAAATTATATAATGGAAAATGACTCCGGAAATGTCAAAATTCACATGAAATTCAAAATAAAACAATTTTCCAACGATAATTTCTTGAAAAAA